CCCTCTTCCCCTGCCCCAGCCCCCTCCGCTCCCAGTGCAGCCCCCCCTCCTCAGTACAGCTCCAGCCCCTGAGTCCTGCTGCCCCAGGTGGGGGCCAAAGCCCAAGCCTCCTCCACGCTGAAGGGAGGGGGGAGGGCAAAGTTCAAGGCCTTCACCCCTGAGCAAGGAGCTTGTAACCTGTAGCCAAAGCCCAGGCAGTGGGCTTCAGGCTTTGGCCCTGGGCATTGGGGCTTAGGCTTTGGCCCTAGATCCCAGCCATGGTCATCCCCTGAGTCCTGCTGCCCCAGGTGGGGGCCAAAGCCCAAGCCTCCTCCACGCTGAAGGGAGGGGGGAGGGCAAAGTTCAAGGCCTTCACCCCTGAGCAAGGAGCTTGTAACCTGTAGCCAAAGCCCAGGCAGTGGGCTTCAGGCTTTGGCCCTGGGCATTGGGGCTTAGGCTTTGGCCCTAGATCCCAGCCATGGTCATCCCATTAAAACGGGGTTGCAGCCGGTGTTCCCTGCCGCTCAGGAGACATTTAAATGCCACCCAGCTGATTAACAGAGCGCCCACAGTTAGGTTTTGTGCTTCTATTGGTGGTGCGCATGGATGGAAAAAATTAGAGGAAACAGCGGTTGCAACCCACTTTGGGGTCCCGACCCAGTTTGAGAACCACTGAAATAGAACAACTTGGAAAATAAAACCTATACTGAGAGCTATGTGTTTTGGTTTAAAAAATACATAAGTATGTTCTCTGAAGCCTTTGCCCCATATGTATATGTAAATGCACATGCTAAATATGTGTCTGTATCTGCATATATCAGTTGTGTTACTGTGAGTGTACATACAACTATAATAATTGACCACATAAACTACCAATTATATCTGAAACTGATTGTCTGCATGTGCAACTACTGCAGTTAATCACACAACCATGGTAATCGTGCATGCACTTACTTGCAGTCTTCTTATAACTTAGCTCACAATATTCTAAAACTTCAGTGCTTATCAAATATCAACAGATATTTAGTAATGCAATTTCCACTAAGGCAAATACATGGAAGTATAACAACCACTGACCCTACCCATCATGGGGTACGTCTACACAATGGGACTAAATCCAAAATAAGGTACGCAACTGATCTACGTCAATTGCATAGCTTAAGTCTAAATAACTTATTTCGGCTTTTGGCGCTGTCTACACAGTAGGAAGTCCAAGAGACCATTCTTCCTCCAACTTCCCTTAATCCTCATAAAACGAGGGTTACAGGAGTCCGAGTAAGAACTCCTCTGGCTCGACATTATTTCGACAGCATGTCGAAATAACTGCTTGTGGGTAGACATGGACTGTGTTATTTCAGAATAATGTTAATTATTCCAAAATAATGCTGCTGTGTAGATATACCCTTACTGATAATGCATGGGAAAGAAACAAGCCAACTGCCTCTGTAAAAAATGGGTAATCTTGTTACATGTTATTGTTTAATAATGGAAAGGGAAATGTTTGGCTTCTGAAGGATCTGCAAATTTTGTCCTTTTTCACCCAAGTTCCTACCTTGTCTTTATGTTCTGTGTTTCACACATGGAGTATAGTGAGCCAAAGAGAATTCAAAGTGTGTGGGTTCTCCTCCAAATTTCTCAGCTAGTCTTCAAAAGTTTCAGTTCCTGAACACAGTTTTGTAAGAGCAAACCCTGAAGTAATACATTACAAAATAGCTTCTCTGGTTTTGGTCATAAGCCATAAAGTCTTAAAACAACAAACAGTTAATCATAATATGCATAGCTCTTCTGGCATTAGAGGCTAATGAAAGCATTGGAAGTAATGATATATTAACAAGGAAAAAAACTTGCATGAGTCTAAAATCCCACTTGCAGCATCCAAGACTGTCCTTAAAACCACTTCTGCTTTGTTGTCAGCAGCATCCTGTGTGATTTCCTGGTATGGCTTTGTAAGAGCAGTACAAATGAAAGGAATTTTCCTTTCAAGAAGTCCATTGTCTTTTCTTTTCTCTAACTTTTTATTTAAAAAAAGACTTTCTAGGCACTCTCCCATGCAGTCATAATGGTTTCTTTCTACAGTCAAAATATCTCCCCCCTAATTTTCTATTATATGAGTAGATTCAGCATACACAGGATACAAGAGGTATAGCAAAAATACATTGTTCCTGTTATAGAATGTATAGCATGCTATACTGCATATCTATGTTATTACTACATGGGCAGGAATTAATTTTCACAGTTAAATAATTCAGCGGTTTTACTATCTGTAAAAATATTGGCCTTTATCTCATCAAGGAATTCTCTTTCACTTGTTGCTACTACAATATCTCCCCTCCCCCATTTTGCCAGTTACTATAAAATAATTTATATCTACCATATAACAGTTCTAATACAGGTTCAACTTCTCTAGTCCAGCTCCTTTGGGATGTAACTGGTGCTGAATCAGAAAATTTGCCGGATCATGAGAGGTCAATATTTTCTAGCAGCATTACCAACATTTCAACTGCTTATTGGGTTCCTAGAAAGTATCAGGGGTCAATTAGAGCTAAATAACAGCACAGAACATTGAGCCACGACTGGTGGCTGTAAACTAACTATGGGACTGTGGGAAACTTGGACCACATTCATGATAAGTGGACATCTGGCTAACTAAAATCATTCTGGACCATGGATGTTGCCGGACCAGAGAATTCCGAACTAGAGAGGTTCAACCTGTACAGCTAGGATACAGCTTCTGTAGGCAGACACAGTAGGCAGCCCCATTCAAGACCACAGTCAAATTCTGAGGCGAGTTTACTCATCTAAACGGTTGAAACTTGCCCCCTTTGGTTCTCTAAACATACTTGTAGATTAGACTTAGACTGCCTTAATTAGATTTCTTTGGACTTACTTATTGATTCAACTCCTACCCGTGTTACAGCCTCAAATCATACTTGAATTTGTCCATTTAATTTGAGTATACTGAACCTTGCTCATTTGAAAAGAGGGGGAACATAAGCCAAGAATCCTGGCACAGCACCGCCAACTGCTCCTAATATGACTACAAACAACAGGTATAAAGTAAGTAAGAAAATCAGCTCCACCTCCCCTGTAACTACACCTCTTTAAACATTCTTCCAACACTAGCCAATTAGCCTGTTATAAGATGGGATTTTCTGGTCTCTCCTCTACCTTGGTCTTCTCTCCTGAGCCTCCGGTCTCTCTCTCTCCTCCTACTGCCTCCCCCCCTCTCTCTCAGCTCTCCTCCGCCTCCTTCCTCTCTCTCTTCCTTTCTCTTCTCCTCCTCCTCCTGACTCTCTCCCCTCCGTCTCTCCTCTTCCCCTTCCGCCATGGAGCTCGGCTGTGATGTACACGGCCAGAGGGCAGGGCCATGTACATCACTGCCCTCCTTCCCCTCCCGCTGCGGGGAGCCCAAATGGCCCCTTGCGCTGCTGGCTCCCCCGGCGGCGCGGCTGAGGGTCGCAGCTCTCAGCCGAGCTGCCACAGCGGGAAGGGGGGCGGTGACGTACATGGCCCCGCCCCTTTCCCCTCCCTCTGTGGCAGCTCGGCCGGGCTGTCGTGGAGGAGGAGGGGCGGGGCGCTGACATACACGGCCAGGGGGCGGGGCTGTGTACGTCACCACCACCCCTTCCCTTCCCGCTGTGGCGGCTCAGCTGAGCAGGCAGCACTCAGCCGAGCTCCACGGCGGGAGGGGAAGGGGAGAGAGAGGCAGGAGGAGGGGAAGAGAAAGAAAGAGACAGAGAGAGAGGCAGGGGGGGAGGTGGGGGGGGAGGGGGGGGGCGGGGGGAGGGATGGAGAGCTCAGAGAGAGGGGGGGGGAGGCAGTAGAAAGAGAGAGACCAGAGGCTCAGGAGAGAAGACCAAGGTGGAGGAGAGACCTGAAAATCCCATCTTATGACGGGCTAATTGGCTAGTATATATGATGTTAGCATGGAAGGTAAAACACTTTACCTTCCTTACACTCATATACACATTAGCCACCTGCAGACTTACTGCCATCTTATATCTCTGCATATGCTTCTTGTTCTCAACAGAGAGGGCTTATCTTGTTTGCTTAAGTCAAAACGAAGTTTATTGAAAATGCATCTTCTGAAATAAGTTTCTGGATCTGCCTAGAGTAAGTGGAGTCCTAGTCTTGTTACATTCTAGTCACACAGTTGTCCACACCAGCAGCAGACTTGCTCTTTACCAACTTTATTTCCTGTGACAAGAATAGCTTCTGATTACCACAGCCCAGTGTTCCCTGTAAGCTGTGCGCTTGGGCGGCCACCCAGGAGAGATTCAGGTGCCGCCCAGCTGCTGCCTGACATGTGGCTTCCTGGGCTCACCCCTTTTTTCTATGCCTGCTCCAGTTTCACAGTGTATTTCACCCTGAGTGCAAGTCAAAACCCTAGAAAATCACTGCATTTGGTATGATTCTCATAAATTGGCCTGATTAGTTGCAAGCTCACCTAGGGTTTATATATAAATTGAAATTGGAAGAGTTTTATTTTAAAATGTTTGCATAACTCTAGTGAATTGGGCTTGGTAGTTAGGGATTAATTTTAATTTACCAGGTTGTTTGTTTGACTCAAATTGTATTTGGAAGTTGTAGAAATATCCCAGCTTCTATGAACTTCTTTTGTCAACACATTAAATATGAGAGCCTCTTTCATGACAGATTCTTTGAGAAGTGTGGGGTCTTTTAAGTCAAGTATTCTAGCTTAGCATCTCTCCCTGCCTCCCATTAATACCATAGATACATATCACTGCTAACTTGTAATTGGAGTAAAGACTTCTGAGTTCTAATCCCAACTCCACTTTTGATTTGTATAATCTCAGGCAAGTCAATTAACCTCTGAGCCTCTGTAAATAGGGATAATAATGCTTGCCTACCTCCCAGGGCTGTTTGAAGCATCAGTCCATTAATGTTTGTGGAGTGGTTTGGATATGGATGGTGTCTGACAAGTGATTTTATTACTTTTATTGCTTTGTTACAAGTTGATGTATTGTAAATTTCTTTTCACAACTGTATTTGATGTCTAATGTCTTGTGCTTTATTCATTGCATTTAATCTACAGGATTAAATAAATCCTGATTTGTCTGTTTTACATGTAATTACAACCTTTTGAGGCTTTGACTCATGTTTGCTTCATGCTGCAGTCTAGATGACTGTTGTTTATCTCAGTGCTTGGCCTGAAACCGAACTGAAGTTCCATAAACCCTTCTTGGGTCAAGTCCTCTGCTGCTGATGTAAATTAGGGTAGCTCCAATATTTCAGTGAAGCGACAGTAATTTACATCAGGTGTGGTTCTGATGCCTTGTATTCATCCGTAAATACAGATTGCAGGGTGCTGATGCAGCAGGGGAGAAATCCATCAGGATGTACCCGACAAGCTGATGCAAGCCATGACATAAACTCTCCTCCCGCCCTGCCCCCGTCCCGCAAGGAGTGTGCAGTGCTTAGAAGTGCTGCACCCCTCCCAGGGCGGGAGGAGAATTTGCACGCTCCTCCTGCCCCCAGGCCAATCAGGGTCTGGGGTCAGGGGGAGCGTGCGAAGACTCATCCCGCCCTTCCAGGAGCATGCACGTGCCATGCACTCTTTGCGGGGCAGGGCAGAAGGAGACTTTGCGCGCTTTTGCCCCCACCCCCAGACCCTGATCGCCCTAGGGGCGGAGGGAAGCGCACAAAGTCTCCTCCCACCCTCCAAGGGATGCGGCACTTCTAAGCACTGCTCGCTCCTTGAAGAACAAGGACAGGGTGGGAGGAGACTTTGTGCATTCCCCCCGCCCCTAGGTCCTGATTGGCCTGAGGTCGGGGGGAGCAACAGGGCCTCTGCTGGCCGGATCAACTCGCTTGGTGGGCCAGATGCGGCCCACGGAGGCCCTTTTGCCCATCCCTGCTCTAGGATGTTATCAGTTACATGGTTACATTTTTACACAATTTTTTACATCTCTACTGCAGAGGTTATGTACATGTTTCTAGAGCTGTCAAGCTCCATGTGTCTCCTGTATAGCAGTGCAGAAGAGCACAGCCATAGGACCTTTGGGCTGGTCTAAAATGTTTCTACGATCACATTAAGAACTGAACTAGGGACAGTAAATATTGGAAAACAAAAGGGACTGACCTGCTCCCATAATTGACTCTCTTAGGATAACAGCAATGTCTGAGCATTTCTAAACAATAGTCAAGCACAGTTTTCAAGAGCTGCCAAATAAATCAGAGGCACACATGTAGTTTAGAGAGATGATTTTCTTTTGTAGGAGAGAGAAAAGTACCCACCCAAAAGATCAGGCCGTTGGACATTTAAAGCATGTGGAGCCATAATTATCTTGTTGTGACTGTAACATTGTCTGTCTGAATCTTCTCATTGAGTAATAAAGGATTTGAAGAATTGAAATAATACTGATTAAAGAAAAATGTGCAAAAAATTGGGCTAGAGTATTATGAGGATGTATTTTGCATTAGTACCGAGAGGCCCGCAGTGAGAACAGAACCCGATGATGCTAGGTACTATACAGACAGAATAAGAATGAGCCCCTGCTCCAAGGACCTTACAACCCTTGGAGCAAAGACTGACGTAAAGTGAAAGAGATGCAAAGTTAACCAGGGTCCAAGAGCAGGTCAGCCACAGAGCCAAGAATAGCACCTACGTCTCCTGAGCCCTAGTCCAATGCACTATTTACTGGACCACATTAAGAATCTACTGGTACTATTATACAGTACCAAGTGAAGAACCTGCTTAATTAGGGATGTAAGAGTGTAGCCGTTTAAACGAGTAACCGATAAGTGCTTATTGGTTACCACAACGGCCACACGTGGCTGATTCAGAGGCTGCAGCACAGGGCGGCAGGTGGGAACTGGGTACGCATGGAGATCCGGCTTAAAAACCAGCTCCCCGTGCACAGTGTTTCCCAGGAAAATGCCTGCCACCCAGCGCTGCAGTACCCAGATTCCTGGGAGTAGGGTGGCCCGCAGGAGCTGACTGCTGCTCTGCGTGTAACCACTGACATTTTCAGTAGTTACATGGTTAGTCAATTACACGCATTTTAACATCCCTAACGTGAATCCTGTCCTCAGCTTGACACTTCCTCAGCCTGACGCTTCCTAAGCCAGCTTCTCCGTTCGAAGAGTAAAGGATTTCCCAAAGCACTAAGTACTCATGACCCCACATTGTTCCAACCACAAATTGTTTTCTTCTTTTTCAGTCTTAACCTAGAATAACGATGACCGCAAGAGAAACATCTGCGCATAAAAGGACAGTTATTCCTCAATCCCAAGAGAGCTTCCTTCCGTTTGATATAAATGCATTGTCCCCACAACAAAGACAGAGGTATCTAGCGTTTGCTGAGCCCACTGAGGAACCAGTGAAATCCATGCTGGCCTCAGACATCTTTATGATGGATGAAATTTCTCACACGTACTCCAAGTACGAAAGGGATGCAGAGCAAAGGAAACAGGACAGAGTTATTGGGCTGCTCAAGGCTGCAGAAGCCCGGAGCCGCCTTCGAAACGTGAGGCTCCGATTTCAGAACATGAGAGTAAGTTAACATCAAAGACCTTTCATCAACAGGCTAGTTTGAGTGTGTCATGAGAGATGGAACTGAGGAATTGTATGTAGCAAGAGTCATTTCTTTATCACACCCTGAAATGTCACTTCAAATTCAGAGACATTTTTATATATTGAAGAGAAAAAACAAAATATTAGTTTTTCTCGCTTAATGTTCAACAAAGGGGAAATTTGTATCCAGTTGTAACTTCAAACCTGTTCCATAAAGCAATCTGAAATGTGTGGGGAAAATTTCTAACAGTCATCATGCATGTTCTCAGCTGACAAACTTTTCCTCATCCTAAGATAGCAAAGAGTTGAAAATGAAGATTATGATAGAACCTCAGTTGCAAGGACCCTCAGAACAAGAGAGAGATGGCTTTTTTTCCTGGGGATGTGAATGAGTAACCAGTTAACAGGTTAATCATTAAGCACCACAGTTGTCTTTGCTTGTCAGTAGAAGATTCTAATTCCTAGGAGGAGGAAAATGTGCGTTGCTCCATATAGCAAACTGGTGTTGGAAAGCAGCATGTCAGCACACTGTCATTCATTAAGACTGGGATTTTCTAAGTACCTAAATGCTGTAGGAGCCCACACATTATTAAAAGTCAATAAAGTGCTGTGGTCCTAACTCACTTGGGCGCTTTTGAAAATCCATCCAAAAACCAAGCCTACTGGCCAACACATCTTATCTCATCAAGTGCACTGAGTAACCCTTTTGGTTTACAACTGCAGACTGGAGTTTCGCTGTTTATTCCCTGTGAAAAAAACAGTTCTGGAAAAGTTGCTTAGTTTAGACCCTATAGCCTCAAGGAAGATATTTTCCCCTAATCCCAAACTAAATTATATCATACTTGGCTAGCACTGTCACCGTGATACTGAAGTTATTTATGACTCTGAAATTAATATATGCTATAGTTAGTAATGGTAAAACAGGGTTTCTCCTATACCATTGTCCAAGTGCCTCTCTTCGTCCAGCCTCCTCTGGAAAGCAAGACAGACTGTCTCCAGAGGGTCTTTAACTTGCAGTGACCGATGCCAGTTGTTGCTGATGTCCAAAACTTGGCAAGGCAACACACAACTGAATATGTCTAAAGATGCATCTTCTAAACATAAGACCATGCTTGGCTGTGGGGTTTTTTTTATCTTCATTTTTCTGAGAGATTTGTTTGCCTTTGTTTAGGATTTTTAAAGTGAATTTTAGTGTCCATGAATGGCCTTGGAATGATGGGACCAAGGACTAGCAGCAACAGTGCAAGCTTTCCTACTTGCTGCTGCTCTACTCCGACCCTGCCCTCCTGCAGCGCAGAAAGGAGACTTCAGTCCACGTGCTTGGGACAATTCCAAAGCTGCCTACAAGGGATCCGTTGGGAGTGAGGACTAAGGATGTAAAATCCTGTTTTATTGGTTAACCGGTTAAACATGATGTTTAACAAGTGAACCAATTTAAAAGGGACGGGTGGGCTGGAGTGCCCCCATCCCACTGCAGGCAGGGGCTGCTCGAGTCTAGTCCTGAGGGTGGCTGGCCCAGGCGTGTTGTGGACAAAGGCTGCTCCAGAGAGTTGGAGCAGGTGGAGAGTTGCTCCAGCCCTCCGCTGGTTAACTGACACCAGAAAGCATCACCCATTAAGGCAGAGGTTCTCAAACTTTGTGATACCGTGATCCCCCTCTAATTTGCTTGCGATCCCCCGGGGTAGGGTCGGGACCCACAGTTTGAGAAATTGGCGTTAAGGTGACGCTTACCTGTCAGCCTTTCACATCCTAGTAAGGACATCTGAGAACTGGACCAATATCATCCAAATTGATTCCTGTGCAGAGGCACCAGAGAAGCCCAAATAGAACACAGAAAAGTGGAGAGGAGCAGAGACAGCTGCACAATCCAGTAAATCCTCCTGGGCATGTGCTACTGATGTCATCCAGGCAGCTCCCTGCTTCTACCGTGACCCTACAGCAGAGCACCAGAAGAACAGCTCATGTTCAGATCTGCAGATTCAGGCATAGACCATAGGTCCAAGCCGCTTCACTCTGCTTCTTTGGCACTCAGCTCAGCAGCAGTGTTACCCACACAACATTCTCTGTCATTCACACACTCTAGGAGCACCCACCCTTACTTACCCCTTCCTAGTGCTCAGCCATAACCTTCTCAATAGAGGCATCCACCCTCACCCGTTTCTAAGGCTTAGGCATAACCTTACATTCTGCAGGTTTGCAGGGTCTTTTACCAGTGAAAGAGCCTTACACAGTGATATCCTACTTACTCTCTACTAACTAGCATCAAAAACAGAAGGCACACGCTAAGCATATAATGCTCACCACCCCCAATCGGACAGATGAATTTGTCTTGATGGCCAGCCAAGATCAGGTCTCTCTTGAGGACTCCAGTTTCTGCACGGTGTCATCATACAGCAGACAGAAACCATTAAAAACCTGGCAGAGAACATACAAACAAACAGTAGGAAAGTGAGGGTTATAATAAAAGAATGTGGATTTTACAACCCCAATTATTGATAAGTAGTTTCTTGCCAGATAAATTATCAAACTTAGTTTTCTTTAGCATAACTTAGTTTGATATGCCGTTACCTCTGTGTTAGTAGCATTCAGCACTCCCAACTTTTAATTTAGTTTACTCCAGCTACCAATACGCTTTTTGAAAGCCCTTTTTTAGGATACGTCCTGACTGCCAAGCAAATCCAATAACCTTCAGTAGTTCACACTGAAATAGTGTTAAGGTAGCTATACTTTCATGGGGCCTTTATTGTATTGTCCCTTGCAGTAATTAGGGAAGTTGTTGTATTGCCTTCCTTTTTTAACTTCCAGTTTCATACAAAATCCAGGTGTGTTTTACAAGATCAGTTTCCTTGCCCCTCAAGGACAAATTCATCTCTTTGGCTTAAAGCAGGGGTGGACTGCCAGGGTTACCTCCTGGCAAGCCACCACCACTCTATGTACCTGCACGGAGGTACCAGCGATCGCAGCTCCTGGTGGTCCTAGATCACTGTTCCCGGCTAATGAGAGCTGCAGGAGGTGGTGTCCTGGTCCATGTCACTTCCCACTGCTCCCATTGGCTGGGAATGGCAATCCTCAGCCAACAGGAGCGGTGATCGCCGGTACCTGTGGCCGTGAAGGTAAATATAGTAGGTGCAGCCTGCCAGGGGTAATCCTGGTGAACTGCTGCTTTGTTAGTGCCCACCCTGACTTACAGGGATTACTCTATAGATGTATTTGGCCCATTTTATTCTAACCTGATTTATTTTCTTATCTTTTGGGGTTTTGTTTGTGTGTTTGTTTTTTCACCCCAGGCTCAGGAAATAAACCATCTGATAGCCTGCCAGAAAACTGCCAGAGGCGCTGTGAGACTGGAGGTGTTTCTTCCACCCCGAAAGAACATTCAGAAACTAGCAGATAACTTGGACAGAGTTCAGGTATGTCTGAGCGCATACCAGCAGTTAAACTGATTTCCTCCACTATCTTATCTGTCCATTTCTAGTTTTAAAGGAGAGGAGGGGTAAGCAGACAAGTCACTCTTGGAATGTGTTCAGTAACCCACGACCAGCTAAATAGAAGTAGACATATTATTTAACTATGATTAGCACCAAGTAACTTATATTGATTAGAGGAAGGAACGGGGATTCAGCACATCTGGATTCTGTACTTACTTTGCCAGTATTTTACTATGTGACCTTGGGTAAGTCACTTAACTGCTCTCTGTCTCGGTTTTCCCAACGTAAAAGGCCTATTTCACAGCTGGCTCAGGCACCTCAGTTCTGTGGAATTCTCCAACTCAGTCTCCTGGATGCAAATGTAAAGCCTAAGTCCTGTCTGTTCTCTTGAACACCTATGCTGTCTGTTTCAGCAAAAACAATGAGTCCCGTGGCCCCATAAACACTAACAAATGCAGCCCACAAAAGCTGACGCTCTCATACATGTGTTAGTCTTTAAGGTACCACCGGACTGCTTGTTGTTTATGATCTCTGTGTGCTTTTCAGAAGACCCAGCAGGGTTTAGTTTGCTGTCCTTGACCAGAATATTCTCCCCTAGCTCCATAAATTTCAGAGGGAGGAGCCATGTTAGTCTGTCATTGAAAAAAACTTTAAAAACAATGAATAGTTCTGCAGCACCGTAGAGACTAACCAGACATGAAGAGAGCATCATGAGCGCACAACCCACTTCCCCAGATGAATGGAGTTTAAGGGGTCCAGGCTTTTTGGAATCCAGACCCTTTAACTCCATTCGTCTTTAGAAGTGGGTTGTGCCCACAACAGTTCAAGATACCGTCTACAGTTTTTGTTAGTCTCTAAGGTGCTGCAGGACTATTGCATGTTTTTAAAGTTTTTTGCTATCTCCACAGCTGGATTTCAGGGCACTGAGCACCACTTGTTTCCTTGGACAGCACACCCCACCTTTGCGATGGCTGCAGCATGGGTTTATATAGTCTGTGAAGCACTTTGAGGTCCCTTGAGAGGCAAGGAGCTATATTAATGTGACTCGTGGCAAAACAGATAATGTGTTACAGTTCTATGTAAAATTAGCTATTGGACAGATTAATTATAAATGATCTTTGCCCAGTTCCTGCCTAATAACGGCAGGAAAAGCAGCTTTGCTGCTTGCTGTCTGTGACTGTTTATTAAAGACCATTTCCTTTAGAGTGGCAGCTAAAATACAAGGTATCATGCTGGATTTGCCTCTGCCTTTCCTGCCTGGGCTCCCCTCCCCCCTCTGCCAGAATTTGTAAACATGTCTTTCTGCTTTACTCCTGACTGCCTGGAGCAGATTCCTGGGATGTTAATGCCAGATACAGCAGAGGCCTTGGAGTGCTGAGAAGGGCAGACAGTCCCACAGCTGTAACAAGATGGAACTGGATTACAGCACAAAGAGCATGTGCACACAATGGAATAGTCTAGAAAAGCCCACCTCAGCGTTTCCAGGCAACTGTACCAATGTATTAGACTGGCCTTAGCCATCCCAGATGTACGTACCACCTCTCCTTCCATTGTGAGCAGCAACCCTGAATGGATGTAAGAGGGAGCTTTTCAGAAAACCCAGACTTCTTCAAAGGCTGGACTGCACACAGCTGAATTAGTGATTGGCAGCATTGATGCACTTGGGCCAGGTACCAATTAATGCCAGAGGGCGGGGATCTGGATTAACAGATACAAAAGCATGAAGTACTGTACACAGTGCTAGAATTTGTGTCTCCTGGGGAACCACAGACAAAGTCTTGATCAATGTAACTGCTGCACAAAAACAGGAAATTGCCCCTCCCTTCATCGGAACAGAGGAAGAGGCTACATGCCCACATCTGTGTCAGAACAGTGCCAGTGAAACTGGGTGATTGTTCCAAGCACCAAGCAAAGGGGCAAATTAGTCACCTGAAGAAGCAATAGTACAGCTCTGACAGCTTTTCTAGAGCACCAGCTCTAGGAACATTTAACACTAGCCTGGACCAAGGTCTCAAAAATAGATTGCTAGGAGATCCCTGCGCTGGCAGAGGGGTGGCTCACATGACCTACAACATCGTGCCCATCTCTCGTTTCTGAGGGCGAAGTCCTGACCCCATTTAAGTTCCATGCTCCTCTCCACATTCTTTCCTTCATTGGCAGTGTCCGCTGGGAAGCCTATGATCAGATCCATATTGAGGCCGAACAACAACTTTCTCTCAGCTAGAAATGGTTCCTCCAGAAAAGAATTGAGGCACTTTGGTGGGGGATTGTGAGGGGAACATTCATTATTATTGTCTCAATTTGATGTTTCCTGTGGCAGAGGATATTTGTGGTGAAAACAACCTGCCTAAGCATCGAATCCATTGCAAAAAGAAAAATAGAGAAGCTTTATTTGTTAGCTTCCCTGCTTCATTCCCATGTGACTTTTTTTTTGCTTGCAGGTGTAACTTTTGAAATAGCTTTTGATCACGCATTGTTGCAATGGACAGCTTTGTGCTATTGTTCAGACTTTCACTGCTTCTTGTCTTTGTTCTACAGAGGAGTAGAGTTGAAGCGATACTAGAAGATGAAAATGGTGAAATATTCATTAGAAGAACCTGAACCCTTGGAGAAGTGAATTAGAATAATTTTCCATAGTGACTAAACTGGGAGTGAGCCCCAGTAGAGCTACGAGTTGTCTCAGCTACTGATAATTACTGTTCAATAAACCGCTCCATTTTTTTCTCAAGTGCATCCAAAGATGTGCTACAGTTTAAACTATGATCACAGAACTTACCAGGAAGCTGCTAAAGAAATGGACAATCCAGAATGGTGGGATAGATTCTAACTGCTCAGATGCAGTTATAAATCCAGAATGACTCGACTGACTTCACTCTACTTACTCTGGATTTACACCAGCATTTCTGAGGTCAGAATTTGACCCTGCAGCCATCCTCGGTATGGTACTCACTTGATTAGTTAAAAATCGGGACCCTTTAGTATTAAGCCAAATTGTCTGCATAACAGTGATTTTCAACCTTTATTATACATGGGTGCCATTACCGGCCTTTTCTTGTCATGAGTCCTTGGCCTTATAATCTTCAAACTCTGAAGTATTGAAATGCTGCTTGCTTACCCAGTCATGCGGGTAAAGTCCTTTAGTTTGTTCCCTCCACAACCAAGAGACAGCAGCAGAATACCCCTGCGTGTTTTCATGTGTGTCAAATATCACCCTGTAAAACTCCTGGGCTGTGTCTAGACTGGCCAGTTTTTCCGGAAAATCAGCCGCTTTTCCGGAAAAACTTGCCAGCTGTCTACACTGGCCACTTGAATTTCCGCAAAAGCACTGACTTGCTACTGTAAGAAATCAGTGCTTTTTGCGGAAATACTATGCTGCTCCCGTTCGGGCAAAAGTCCCTTTTGTGCAAAACTTTTGTGCAAAAGGGCCAGTGTAGACAGCTCAGATTTGTTTTGCGCAAAAAAGCCCCGATCGCGAAAAAGGTGATTGGGGCTTTTTTGCACAAAAGCACGTCTAGATTGGCCATGGATGCTTTTCTGCAAAAAGTGCTTTTGCGGAAAAGCGTCCATGCCAATCTAGACGCTCCTTTCCGAAAATGCTTTTAACAGAAAACTTTTCCGTTAAAAGCATTTCCGGAAAACCATGCCTGTCTAGACGTAGCCCTGCACTAAAGGGAACAGTGGATGCTCCAAAGGAGATGTGGCTTCATTATTACTGCAGTAGACTGAAATTCACGTATAAAAAGTAATGATAGCTTAGAAAAGTCCTGATTTCCCTAGAAATGGAAAGACTGGTAACATTTACCATCCCACAAGGATGAGGGTTTTTTTTAGAGAAATAAAAGTTATTAGATTGAACTGAAGATGAGGAAGTGATGCAGAGAGATTTTTCTTTCCACTGAAGTAAAATAAAAATCAGAGCATATTGCAGTACGTTGTGTGTTAGCTGGTTTATGCAGTCAGGCTTGTCTGCTCCCTCCCTGCTTGTGCTGGAGAATTCCTGCTTGTGATGTTTTTAATGGGCTCGTCTGTCTGATCTCCCCTCCACCCCCAGCCAATATTTCATGTCATTTTTTCCTTCCATGGCGACCTTTGATACTTCCCTTTTCCCTTTTACATAAACCCACTGGTGCCTCTTCACCTTTAGGGAGACACTGGCTGAACATATTACACCTTACTACAGAAATCAAACCAAAAGTCTGATCTGTCTGGGGGTACGTCTACTCCCTAGTTCGAACTAGGCATGCGAATGTAACCAACCGAAATTGCTAATGAAGCGGGAATTTAAATATCCTGCGCTTCATTAGCATAATCTCGCCCACGCGCTATTCCGCTCGCCCCTTGGTTCGAACTAACGTTACTCAGAGTTTGATTCGAACTAATGCGTTCCGGAGCGCACTTCCTGGTTCGAATCAGCTGGCGAGCGGAATCGCGTGCAGGAGAGATTATGCTAATGAAGTGCGAGATATTTAAATCCCCACTTCACTAGCAATTTCGGTCGGCTACATTTGCATCCCTGGTTCGAACTAGGGAGCAAGCGTAGACGTATCCTGAGAGAGACAATTCTTACAGCAGCTTTTCTTTCTTCAGCTGGTTATGGGGGTCAGCAAGGCGATTCTAGGTCAGCGGGCAGCTGTTACAGCTAACATAGGTTAGAGCATCTGTGATATCTCTCCATATTTTGCCAGGGCTGGAATTGGTCTCTTATCTGCTCCAAAGACCGGAGAAGCACAATGGTTAAGCTACCTTCCCCCCACCCCTTTGGCTGTGAGGTCCTGCCCAAAGAGCAGCTTCACCACATCCAAAGAGCTGGCCCCTGCATTCTATCCCCATCTTTGCATCTTGGGTCAGTCCCTTAAACTCTGCTTTGATCACCCTTAGGTGTGCTAAGAGCATCTACCTTTGTAAATCCCTTTGAGAGCCTCAGGTGAAAAATACTGTGGACACACAGAGCATTATTCGCTACCATCACCGACCGCAATAACATCTGAAAGAAGATTTTTGCCCTATTTCTATTTCTGACTTCTACTGTCCAGTGTTACTTCTGTTTGATTTTGTTTTGCAAACACAATACAGTTTGGAAGCTCCCCAACACAGAAAGCAATTCTTAGGGGAGTCACAATATATAAATAAATCTCCTGAGAACATAGTATGGGTTCCATTGGGCTACTGCTCAGCAAAGCTGATAATCTTGTTTCTAACATGCCAAACACAGTCCTTTGGGGGGCACAGCCTTACAGTCTGTTCTTAATCCCATGCCTGGCACTCAGTCACCAGCCCTTCCTTCTCTCTGCAACTTTTGCTATCCCTTTTTTTTTCTTTTCTTTTTTTTAGGCAAGGCTCAGAAAACATCAGAAAAAAATATGGTCAGTGTTTGTAAGTCTCCAGAGACAACACTTTTGGCTATGCAAAAGCCTTCATTTCATCCTCTTTCTTCTTTGCCTATATGAGATTTGTACTCCAGAGCTTCAAACTGACATTTATCTGCATATTTGAGGCCCTGAGGACATCAGATATCATCTCTGCTACTCTGATGCTGTCCTGGGAAAAGGAAGGATTGTTATACGCAATCCATGTCTGTGTTCAAAGGTGACTAAGGGGGATGAGGCCTTGCCAAACCTGTCTGCAAACAAACATCCCATACAAAGGCTAGATCTACCTTATATGCAGCTTTTAGTTACAAGCCTATGTCGACATAGGTCTGTCACTAAGGCTGCGTCTACACTACATGCTTCTTGCGCAAGAATGCATGCATGCTTTTGCGCAAGAGAGCGTCCACGCTGCATGAATGCTGTGTTCTTTTTCCCATAGCATTTTGCCACCAAAATACTCCTAGCTCTCACAAGCAGCTTTTGCTTTGTCGGCAGGAGAGCACTCCTGCTAGCAAAGCTGGCACCTGCCACAGCAAAACTTTTGTCATTCAGGAAGTGAGGGGTTTAAGCACCTGTGAACAGCAAAAGTTCTGATGATCAGTTGCTAATGTAAGTAAAGCCTAAGTCACAGCAGATCATTAAGAGACGTACCATAAAAGGCAGGCAGAAGGAATCCATTTGAGTGTAAATACATGGCATCTTTTGCTGGAACAATTCTGTTCCTCAGCATCCACACGAGTAGCCTGATTACATATGTTTTTATCCATCCATTTTATCTGGCTAAATCAGAACCCCACATGCCCAACATAGCTTTCTGTTGGTTTCTGATACTCCCTAGCGGACACTTGAGTCATAAACAATGAATGGGTTACAAAGAGGTGTCCCAATAGCACTCTCCCAAACAGATGGCTTTGGCCGAGCTACACAGAGCCAGCTGGGGAGCCTGCAAAGAGGCTTCTCCTGTACTGAGTGGACCTCAAGACACAGAGGCTGCGTCTAGACTGGCATGATTTTCCGGAAATGCTTTTAACAGAAAAGTTTTCCGTTAAAAGCATTTTCAGAACAGAGCGTCTAGATTGGCAAAGACGCTTTTCCGCAAAAAAGCCCTGATTGCAGTTTTCGCGATCGGGGCTTTTTTTGCGGAAAACAAATCTGAGCTGTCTACACTGGCCCTTTTGCGCAAAAGCTTTGCGCAAAAGGGACTTTTGCCTGAACAGGAGCAGAATAGTATTTCCGCAAGAAGCACTGATTTCTTGCAGTAGGAAGTCAGTGCTTTTGCGGAAATTCAAGTGGCCAGTGTAGACAGCTGGCAAGATTTTCCGGAAAAGCGGCTGATTTTCCGGAAAAACTGACCAGTCTAGACACAGCCAGAGACATGGGAGAATATGGCCCTCAAGGTCTTAGTCTCCAAGACTGAATCTACTATTTAATGATTTTAACATGTTAGGAAAAAATTATGCAGGCTGCTCCTTTCTAGAACTTCCACTATAATTGCATTAACTCAAATGAGGTGCTACCATCAAAGGGCTCTTATTCAATTTTTGTCTCTTCCGGCCTTATCTCAGGCCAAACTTCCTTTGGCTTCCCTATCAGTAAGGAGTGAGCAGACACTGTCTAAATAAGGGATCTTTCCTCTCACGGTGATAAGGGCGTCCATCCCCCGCTTTCCCCACAGGCATGCAGTTAACAGGAAAAATGTTACTGGATTATCGGGGTAGGATGTGTAAATGTAAGTGGAGGGGAGGTTTTTTCAAGAAATAGCTTGGCGAGCAGCACAAAAGCACTATGTGCAATTAACTGTTTAATCCTTCTGGGTGCACAACCTATAAACAAATGGATAGCAATTTGGAGAAGTGTGCTCCTTGGGCATCTCAGCTCAGAGTGATGTTACAGGGCTTTCCTGAACATGTTTCTGGAGCAACCATTCCATGGCTTCTCTCTCCATCACAGGACAGGGGAAAGGATTCAACAGGGAGAGGCACTATGTGAGTTACCTTTGAGACTGGGCAGGGTCTGTTCTCAGGTATTCATTGAAAGAGGCTTCCCTGCCCGTAGATGTTCTGCCTGGAGTCTGGAATTCTTTCTATAGAGAGAGAAGTCAAGGGTTCAGATGCTTTTTGTGTGAGCTGTTATTGTTATAGCATGGTGCTTCTCTCACACG